TGACCTGTTACAGTGACATTGAAACAGCTGGATTGATTGACGGGGGATCTGGAGAAAAATAATATTTCTTAAAGCACCACAGAGAAATAAACCCAGTGTGCCTCAGGTATATTTTCCAAAAATACTTTTAATAGGAAGAAAGATGAAGGAAATTGAAAGGAAGTACTGTGGCCTTTGTAACTAGAGCCCACGATGATGTCAGAGGGGCTGGGGATGTGAGGATGGAGAGGAGGGGTCGGAGGCGTGATGCTCATTACCTCGTGTTGGAAAGCAGTGGATTCTGATTCCCGCTTATCCGCTGTTTTCCGAGAATGGCTGTAAATCCGTGTGGCTCTGACAATTAAAAGACACCAGAGTGTCCACACGTGCCAAGTGCCAGGCGTGTGAAGATGCAGGCCGCCCTGCCTTGGTCCTTGGGGAGCTTTCGGGCAGAGAGAGAGAGAGTTACATAGTGGAAACTGCAGACCTGTGGCTGTGGAGCTGTGTACAGAGTGGGCTGGGAGTGGGGCCGGGTTTCTCTGTAGGGACAAGATGACACTGGAGTTAGGATCCGCAGGTGAGTTTGCCAGACCCCAGAGGAGGGAGCCCTTCTGGAGAAACACAGGGATTTGGAAGCGCTGGCCTGTCGGGGAATAGCAAGGCGTGTGGGCCCGCAGGTAGGGGCCCCTGTGCCTGGGTGCGGTGCTGGGAGTTCGGGCTTCGTCCCGAGGGAAGCAGACCTGAAGGGCCTGCAGAGGAGGTGTGCATGCCGTCCCCTCCCGGACCTGTGGCCCTTCCCTGGAGACCCCCTCCTTGCCTCCCACTGGTCTACCACCATTTCCCCACGGCTCTCAGGATGCAGACATGCCCACCCATCGCATTCGCCTGCAGCATTTCATGGAGTGCTTCTGTCTGCCCCGCCAGGTTCTAAAACCTTTACTGGGGTGAAGCTCTGCAGACCTCATGACCACCCCAAAGAGGCAGTATTATCAGTCCCACGTCATCGAGACGGCTTGGGACAGCATGGTGGGGTGATGTGCCAGGTGCAGAGCCGCTGAGTGAGGGAGGGGACGGCGCTCAGCGTTGAGCACCTACTGTGTGCCAGGTCCAGGGTGGCCGGAGGGATTGTCTAAGAAAGTCTGAGACGCCGGGCCTTTGGGCAAGGCTGCTTCTTCCCCACCGCCAAGTCCAGGATCCGAGCTCCACCCAGGCTCTTATGTCCCTTTGCAGTTCCCGTCACACACTTGTGCTGGGGATGAGCTGGGTGTGGGCCTGCATATGCTTCAGGTCCTGTGTGTCTCGTCCCACTCTGCTAGGTGCGGGTGGTCACACTTGCTAGGTATGTGGGTCTAGTCGTACACTTTGTAGGGTCTTAATGTATTTCTCAGGAGTTTATTTACACATTGTAAAGTGGAATTTGTAAATACAAATTACAAATATTTGTAAATATTTTGTTTTCTTTCTATACTTTTTCCAACTTATATTACAATTTGCTCTGTTTAAATAATTAAGCTCATCTACTTAAATGTGAGTCATTTACAGCTGGTTTCAAAGGTGAGTAGGTTGGGCTTCCCTGGTGGTGCAGTGGTTGAGAGTCCGCCTGCCGATGCAGGGGACACGGGTTCGTGCCCTGGTCCGGGAGGATCCCACATGCCGCGCAGCGGCTGGCCCCGTGAGCTATGGCCGCTGAGCCTGCGCGTCCAGAGCCTGTGCTCCGCAAGGGGAGAGGCCACAACAGTGAGAGGCCTGCATACCGCAAAAACAAAAAAACAAAAACAAAAACAAAGGTGAGTAGGTCAAGATTCATGCAGGAATGAAAGGGCGGTGCAGGGAGTTTGGTCAGAGCCGGCAGTTTGCTCGTCCTGCCGGTGGCGTTGGCTGGAGGGACGAGGAGGACGGCCCCCAGAGAGGCTGGTGGTCCAGGTCACCAACCAGGCAGACAGTTGTCCTGGGATCTGGCTGTGACACCTGAGATGGGACACGAGTGTGTAGGATCCAGTCAGGGACACATAACCTTCACCTAATTATGCAGAAACACCAAGCCAACCTCAGATTCTTCCTATAAAACAAAAGAAAACAGGCCTGTGTTCTTCAAAAATTCAGTGCCACATAAGACGAAGAAAGTCTGAGGACTGGGTCCAGGTAAAAGGGGATGAAGGGGACACGACACCTAAACATGGTGTGTGGCCCTGGACTACTCTGTACTCGAGGGAAGGTCCACAAAGGATGCCGTTGCATGGAGACCAGATGGAGTATGGATGGCGGATTAGCTAGAAAGCCTGCGCCAAGGCCGATTTCTTGAATGGGGTGACCGTCCTGTGGTTCTGCAGGGGCGTCTGTCTCTGTTGTCAGGAAACGACCCGAAAGTGTAAATAGATCACGTGTCTTCAGTACTCAGTCTAAGGGACTTAGCCGTAAATGTGCGTGATTCATGCAACCTCCTCCTAAGTAGTTTAGAGAAAATACATGTTTAATACAAACATGAAGGGAAGCTACACCTAGCAGCCCCTCACCTTTCCTTGTCTGGAGAATGCCAGATTTTCAACTGTTCTTTTCCTACTCTGTCTACATATTCCTGCTCAGTGCATTGAATCGGCAGACATTTACTGAGCAACTGTTACGATCACTTAATTGAACACGCGTACATATCGAGAGCCAGCCGTTCGTTTAGGGCCAGGAATGTGCGGACGGTGGGCCTGGGTCCTGGAACTGCGTGTGGAGGTGTTACAGGACCCGGCAGGGGGGCCCTGCAGGTCAGGCGTGGATGGGGATTTGAAGGATGAGTCTTAGGTCAGGAGGCAGGGCAGGGGGGGAGTTCCAGGTGCAGCCGAGCTCTGTAGGAAGGCGTGGGGTGTGCAAAGCCTGCGGTGAAAGGGTGTGAGGAGTGGGCTATGCAGGCAGGTAGGCTTAGAGCTTGAAGGGCGTTGGAACATCCTCATAAAGTTGGGACCACTCCCTGAAGTGTTTGAAAGGTGGGTGTGATCAGGTTCACAGCAGCCCTGTTCACTTATGCATTCAGCAGGTACTTACTGAGTGCCTACTATGTGCCAGGCACTGTCCCAGGCTCTGGGACCCATTATGAGAAAAACAGACAAACACACACAACCCCTGCCCTCATGGAGAGTCTAATGCCTCATGGAGACAGGTGAACAATGAACGTATAAATAAATTATCTGTAGATTGAGTTAAGTGCTGGGGGAAAATGTGGAGAAGGGTAAGGAAGGGAACTTTTTTTTTTTAAGAAGGGGAGTCCAAGGCATTTTATGCTTCCATATTTTTTTCGTTGTCCTGTCGGCATACGATTCCTCTTGTCTGATGGATTGCTGAGGTCAGTGGTAGGGAAGTGCCCCGTTGTGAAAGGGGGACAGAACACTGGCGGGAGAGGGAACTGCTGCAAAGTGTCCCCGGGAACCAGTGGGTTAGTGCATCCTGCCAGGTCTAACTCTTGAAGGATGGCACCTTCTTTGTTAATTCAGAGACATTTAAAATGGAGGGAAATAGGGAGGGAGCCATCAGGGTGGCTCTCGCCGAGAAGGAGAGGTTTGAGCCAACGCTTGACAAGAGGCCAAACCCATGCCACTCTGTTTTCCCTGGATTTCACAGGAATGAGGTGTTTTAGAATCTTGCATTCCCTTCATGTGCTTGTTAGGCAAAGTATGAGATTAAACAATAAAACTGGTTTAATGACGTGACGCCCGCCTTCACCTGCCATCCTGCTCCCCCGGGAGTTCTTGTTTCCACATCTCCTGGGGTTACGGGAGCGGGTGGTAAAACCGCGATGGGTGTGGTTTGCTCTGTGCTCTCTGCACAGCATCCTCGCTGCTTTTGTGTCCTCGTAACGAGGCTGGGTAATATTTCCTTGTCACTGTCCTCTGAGTGCTGTTTCAGAGATAATAAAATAAATATATGGCCTCTTTATCTTAGAGGCCAAAGATACGGAAAATGCTTGTCACAAGGAGATGTGAGTAACACCGAGAAGAATCTAGTAGGTTTCCCGAATCCCAGCCCCCAGCTGCCTCTAAGGCACAAGCACCATATATCATCTTCTGTTTCTAAAACCAGTCCTGCAAAGATCTTGTTTCCTATGTTCATGAGCACGATTTCAACTTGCAGGAAAGCCTCCTAAAATAGGTAGAAAGATTTTGCTTGGCTCCTATATATGTGGTTGAAGGACTATTTTCACACTTTAATTTCCACAAGGAAAAAAAACCCCTAGTAGTTTGCATAATACACTATAATGCCATATATAAATGGCACAAGGTAGGTGTTTTTAGTTTGACATTTTCTTAAGTGACACAGAGAGCTCACAAGAAATATCTATTTATATAGTTTTGCCTGTATTCATTTCCAAATACTTCAGTAAAGATGGAAAAGGGGAGAACTAAAAAAGATGGCTTGTATATAAAGATGGGATATATCTGGGATAGAATTGGAATAGAATTGGGATGGTGCTAAGAATTAGTTCATCTTACACTGTGATCTAGTTATGCTTTGTTATTATAGTTTATAGATTTCTTTAGAAATCTAAGTTCCCCTCAATTGTAACCCAAAGACACCTGCCATGCATCAATTTTTTTATCAGAGATGCTCCATCCTGCTCTGTGGTTCCAGCAGTGATGGTTTGGTGGTTGTTATGGAAGCGATTTTTATTAGGCTGTAAGGAGTATCTCTAAAGCCCCAGCGACCTCTGCAGACCTGCCTGTCCCCCTTCTAATGCAGACCCTCCTTTCCCAGGCACCACGCGGCCACCTTCATTTGGGAAGAGAATATCTTCCCTTCCTGGTGAGCTGCTGCCCCCTGGGAGGAGGGAGGGGAGTATTTCTGCCACTTTACAGAAGAGAAATGGAGGCGACAGCCTGGTCCAGATGGTGTGAGAAGGGGGGCCTCTTGGAGGCACCTGGGTCCCATCCCACTGTTCACTCGGGGCGCGTGTGCTTTCCCTGGGCCTTCTCAAAATAACCGATTAGCCTCACTGCACGCCTCCGTCCCAACACGCTCTTTATTCTTCGTTTGTACCTTAGGAGGATCCCAAGGTGAAAGAAGCTCATAAATACGACAACGTTCCACCCAAAGCACTGGATTCTATTTTTTACGCCAAAGAAGGAAAGAACCTTTTATCCACAGCGGGGCAGGTAATGTGAAATGCTGTGTCGCTGTCGGCAATTCGAAATGCTGCCGGGTCAGGAATCTGCTTTTCCAGACCAATTTCATCCTGCAAAGATATGACTTGTAACGATCTGATTTAAAAACCCGACTCGTAACTGTCTGACTTGTTAATAAATTGTTCGGCATGTAGGGCAGTGGTAGGGGGAGTAGAAAAGTAAAATTTCAGGGCTGAGGGCGATGGGATTCTCCTACTAGGAAGCCCTCCAAGATAAACACAGGATTTAAGAGTAATTCTGGGGGCTTCCCTGGTGGCACAGTGGTTGAGAGTCCGCTTGCCGATGCAGGGGACACGGGTTTGTGCCCCGGTCCGGGAAGATCCCACATGCCGCGGAGCGGCTGGGCCCGTGAGCCATGGCCACTGAGCCTGCGCATCCGGAGCCTGTGCTCCGCAACGGGAGAGGCCACAGCAGTGAGAGGCCTGCGTACCGCAAAAAAAAAAAAAAAAAAAAAAAAAAGTAATTCTATCATCTCTGTGGAACTCTGGGAGGGCATATTGTCCTTTAAGGACCAATGACACTGAAAACAACCAACAAACATATCAACCTTTTGAGGGAAACATGAACATAAAAGCCATCAGAACCCACTGTTTGTGTTTACTTTTTGAGTATGAGAGACATTTAAAAGATTGAACTTCAGAAGTGATTTTAAAACGAAATAATTTAAAATACACTCCTTGCAGTCCTACTCCTATTCTTACTACTATTGCTACTACCAGTAGTATTACTGTTACTACCATTATCGGTACTACTGTTACTACTACAGTTAGTGCTACTGTTCCTACTATTATTAGCTCTGACTGGGGGCCAGGCTCTGAAGGAGGTGCTTTCTGTGACTGTGTCATCTGCAGGTGTGATGGATACCTACAAGACTTAAGTCCCCTGGTTGGTTGTGGAGAAGAGAGGGAGATGGCGGGAAGGAGGGCTTCCCTTGCCTTCTCCGCAGCATCTGACAAGTTTGCAAGTCATTTCTCTTAAGCTGTCTTCTCCCTCGGCTCTCAGTACCACACAGAACGACTCAGGTTTTCTTCTCTTTGCTCCCCGTTTCTTAGCTTCCTGTGTTTGCTTCAGGCTACAGAGTGGGGCGTTTCCCTAATGCTTTTCTCTGGCTTCTCCCCCTCTCCTGGCTCTCCCCATCCCATGACAAATGCGTCATCCTGCTGTGCACCAGGCGCTGGTCCGGACACGCAGGTGTTCAGGCATGTTCCGTTCGTCCTCGGAGCTCATGTCCTGGCAGGCGAGGCAGGTGCGTGAGCAGAGGCCACGCTGTTCTACCCCACCCTCGCGGGGCTCATCACGGAGCCTACTGAACCTATACTACCTGAGATTCTGTAATATGTCAACAGTAATAGAAAATTTAATCATGGAGTAAAATGTCTTTCTTGGCAAAACATACCCTCCAGGAGTGGCCTGGGCTGCCGGGGAGAGCGTGGCCCGCTGGGACTCAGATTCCAGCTGTGGCCCTCATGAGCCTGTGACCTGGGCACATTCCTTACCTGAAAACGGATGTCGTAGGTGTGTCTGAGGATTGCCATGAGTATTAATATCAAAGGCATAGGTAGAGGAGCCCCTGGGACACAGTGGGTGCCCGCCCTCTCCTCTCCTCTTCCATCCCTTATCCTCCAGCCCAGGGCTCGGGGGATGGTTCTTCCGGGACCGGGGCTGGGAAAGGCCAGAATGGACCCCGTGAGGGGTGGGGAGGTCCAGGACTCTTGACTGAGGAAAGGGATGGGCTGTGGTCACATCTGTCTCCTTTTGGATGGTGAAGGAACCGGCCAGCCCACTTCTTTTTCCTCTGCTGTCACCTGTTGCTTCTGAGCAGGATGAGGATAAACTTTTCAGGAACCTTGGGATTTTATAAGCATTTACTATTGATACTACATCCAGTTGTAGTGCTAATTAGATGATTTTGTCTGTCAGCCAGGTTGAGTGGCTTGCAGTGTACAGATTCAACCCCTGTGTCGTTAAAGCCCGGTTCTTGAATATATTTTGAAGTAACGCATCTGTGTGTGCTTAAAATCTGATGTTGGTGTCTCAACACCAAAATCTGGTGTTGGTTGCTTTGCGTTTATTTCTAACTGAATGAACCGAGCGCACACTTGTCAAACATTCACTGTATTTTGTCTCTGGCCTGAGTCCCATGGGGGTTGGGACACAGGGATGACGGTGACTCCTGGGGTCTGGGACCTTTGTGGAGACAGTGCAGGTGTTGAGGGCCACTGAACCCAGCACCTCGACTGAAGCAAAATCAAGGGTGGTAGGGAAATGCAGGGGAGGGGATGTATGGGTCCCGGGGTCCCTCGGCCAGGCCGCCTGACAGTGACACAGGAAGCTCCAAGGATGCTGAGTTGTAACTCTGGTTTGGCTCAGAAAAGGTATAATGAACATCGGTTTGAAAACCCTGCCTGCATTATTTTTCTCCAGATGGTGACGTGTATGAAGCCCAGACTCCTAACAAGGAAACCCAAGGAGCACCAGAAGTTACGGGGGCCCCGGACGTGCATGTGGAGGTGCCTGTGGACAGGTGGGTGGCGGGCACCGCAGGACTGTGCCCACCTCCTTCTTACTGCTGCTCCGTCAGCCCTGCCTGCATCTTATCCCCAGCCCCTCCCCAGAGCTCTCCCTGGCCTCTAGAATGTTCTTTGTCCCCTGCACTTAGCTACTGCTCATCTTTTAGATCCTATGCTGTGCATTTTCTTGTCTGCCCATCTTTCCCCCCAAGGCTCTTCTGCTACCAGGACCCTTCTTAGCACACGTCACAGTTTGTGACGGCACTTCAGCCTTATTTGGTTACTGTCCCTTTTCTGTGCTAAGCTGTAAGCTCCATAAGAAGGCCATGGTCTGCACTGCTCACTTGTGTAGCCCCTGTTCCTAGCAGAGGTCCTGGCAGGTAGAAGGCTCTTAGGAATCATCGGTGGAAGGATGGGATGATGGTATAATCAGACCATGTGGTCGGGAATCACGCATCTGCCCCGTCCTAGCTTCCCGACCTCAGGCCTCAGTCTCCTTGTGCATGTGGCGGAGATGATGTCACCGTGCAGGTCAGCCTGGGCACCAAGTGAAGTGTTAGTGCCCAGTCCAGGGCCTGGCGCACAGTGGACCCTCTCTCTCTGTGTCCCTCCTCCTGGCCTCATGGAGGAGAGAGGTGGAGTCCTGCATGGGACAGGACGACTGGAGGGGAGAGGTGACGGGGAGAGGGGCTCACTTTGAGGCCTGGTGCCTGGACAGGAGCAGAAGCAAAGGGCCCCAGGCCCGAGTCGGAGGCCTGGGTTCCAGCTGGCTCTGCCCCCCCCCCCCAGTGCACCCAGCAGGTCTCCAGGGCCTCCGGGCCCCAATCCTGGGCCTCAAAGGGGAGTCTGTGCCGAAATGCATGACTTTGCCTCTGGTATCTACCTGGAGGCATTAAAGGTCCATTTCCAATTATAGGCTTTTGAGAAAATAATTTATATTCTGTATAAGGTCAGTATTAGCATTTGAGTCCCATTTTTGTTCCTCTTAAATAAAGTGGGTCCCAGCCCTGCGCTTGCCCCGAATCACAGGAACCAGCGAGCTTTCCTGCTCCGCTTTCAGTACTAATCACTTTTAACCTTGTCATTTATTTTTAACTTCTGCAATGTTTTCCCTGTGATATGTTTTTAAAATGTCATAACTCTGTCTTAATGTAGTAGCCTTCCACTTCCTCTTGACATTTTGAACACTTTTCTCATATGTCCTGTTGTATTCCCTAAATTACTAGTAATATTATTCTTTTCCTCGACATGACAAAAAAATGACCCAAAGATTTGGTCTTCTCTTAAAACCCAAACTAACAGTTTAAATATTTTTATTGCATACTTAAGAATTTTATAGTAATAATATTAAGATATTTTAGGCAGTTACTTTTTTATACCAAATTTATCATCCACACTTCCACCTCCAACATGAATTGTTGTTATTGATCTTTTATTGTGTGTTTTCTGGGCTGCACGCTGAGAGTGTTTGGACGGTTTTAAACGGAGGTAAAGTCCTAGTGTGTCAAATAGTGTTTCCATACTGTTTGGGAACAGTAAACGTAAATTTCTGTTGCTCCCGTATTTGAGTTCCATTGTGTTCGAGGCTGTGGAGTGAGATGGATTTCCCCAGACTGGTGTGTAGTCTGATGGGGGGAAGCGGTGTCCACACCACACGACGGGGGCTGCACACCTGGAGAGCTGCACGAGAGGCCTTCATTTATGTCCTGGTGCTAAGCTCTTGGAGCCACCGGTCTCCTTGTGGAAGGAGGGGCGGGTACTTGTTTTCATGCCCTTAGGACTTTCTGGTTCACAATGAAGAACGGTTGGCCTTTATATTAAACTACTTGATTATGATGGTGCCTTTTATCATAACCTGGAACGCTTTTGAGTGACTCGCTTTAAGCTGTGGGCGTCTCATCATTCCCTGAATGGCTGGTGGCTGCAGCATTGCGCTTTCTCCACTTCTGTGTTGCCGGAAGGACGAAATGTTACAAAATATAACATCCCAACTAGTCAGTTTATGAATTTGGAGTCAAACTGAGATGGACGAAGGGAACCTCAAGAATGAGGACCCCTCCGGGTCCAAGGGGGCAGGTGTGGTTTGTTCAGCCTGTTGGTAGCCGATGACGCCTGTGAATAACAGGGTCGCAGGTCAGGGTCGAGGCCACTCAGACCGTCCGGCAGCAGCAGCGGCCTGCGACACTGCACTCCCGCTGCCGAGTGAAGGTCGAAGTTGAGGTTCGGAGGAGTGTGGAAGGTGGGCTGTCCCTTGTTCCTGCCGGGTGCCATCGTGTAACATCCGCTTTTTTTGTGATGGTGAGCGAGGCTGACTGTGGCCTCTTAACCTTTCCTTCACTCCGGTGCCTAGAAGCTTCCCCCCAGGACTTCTGAGTCGGTCAGGAGCTCCTTGGAGCTGTGCAGAGAGGGCAGGGCAGCTGCGTTGGAGCGCGGGGCAGGGGTGTCGGGTGCTCGGTGGTAAGGAGACGTCATCAGCTGTTTAGAGGGTTGGTCTTCCTGACGGTCCAGGAGGGCTGTTAAGCTGCCTTTAGACCTGCGCTCTGATTCCTAAGATGCTCCCACTTTTCTGGCTCTGCCTCCCGATCGTTTTCTCTTTAATTTACCCACAGAGCGATACATACTTCCAACCAGACGTGTCACTTTTTCTGTCCTCCTACGTCAGCCACTTGGTTTTCCACCACCTGACACCTTTGCAGTTGATTTCAGAGAGCTGCTCATTTTCCTGCATATGTTGGAAGGTGCGTGCTTACATTCCAGGGCCTCTGGTCGTAAAAGCTTATTCTGGAGAACAAACTTGACATTGAGACCCTCGTAGAATTCTGTTGACACCCATCTTTGGCTCATGAGAGAATCAAGATCGAGGTGCCGGGTGAGAGAAGCTGTGCTCTGAGTTAATGGAGTGATTTCAGTGCCTGTATCATGAATGGGGAAGCTCAAGCCACTGAACCCTGTTTGTCCTGAACCAAGTGGTTCCTGAACAGGACGAAAGGCTAAGCTGTGGAAAATATAATGAAAGTGAAAGGGAGAGAATGCTAGGGATTGGGACTCTGGCTGTGGCCTGACATTAGAAAGCGTTTTACTGATGGTCAACCATGGTGACAGGGACTATGGTCCATGGGCGTTAGTCACCTTTTTCCTCTTCTATGCTGCACTGTCTCCTTTTGAGTTTTCACTTTTAAGAAATTATGATTTACTTTCAGTGCCTCGTTTCTCATTGGCTTTAGTAGTGGTTAATGTATCCCCTTGCCATCCACCGCCCCCTCCAACCTTTCTCTATCCGAGCTTGAGTGGAGGACAAGGGTGATTGAGTTAACTGTCCGCTTTATCAGCCTCGATTCTCCCAGAGTGCTGACTTCTTACACCAGCTTCTATTTTAAAGTCCTGACTTAAATTATACCTCAATGTTAAGGAAATGATTGTTAGCACTTGTAATATGCACAAAAGTGACATCCAGATATTAAGACATTGATGTTGAAGTTCTGTCTGATTTAAGGACTACATTTGTCACAAAGTAATGTCTTCTGCCAGATTTAAGATTATATTTATTTAATATTTTTTAATTAATTAATTAATTAATTTTTGGCTGCATTGGGTCTCCATTGCTGTGCGCGGGCTTTCTCTTGTTGTGCCGAGCGGGGGCTGCTCTTCGTTGTGGTGCGTGGGCTTCTCATTGCAGTGGCTTCTCTTGTTGCGGAGCACGAGCTCTAGGCGCGCAGGCTTCAGTAGTTGTGGCGTGCGGGCTTAGTTGCTCCGCGGCACGTGTGATCTTCCCGGACCAGGGCTCGAACCCGTGTCCCCTGCATTGGCAGGCGGATTGTTAACCACTGCACCACCAGGGAAGCCCCCTATATTTATTTTTATAAGTACTTTAAAAAGAGAAAAATGCTCAGAATTGCAGTCTCTGTTTAGCCGGGACCCTGACCTTTGATTCCTTTTGGGGGAAATAGTTCAGCATCTCTCCGCACATGCTCAGCTCTATTTTAGCAGAGTAGCTTTACGATATCATTTTGCAGCAGGCAATAAGCAGGTGTATAAACCCCAGGTCTGCAGTTGATGCATGAGAAGGCTTGACTGAAATCACAGTGGACTGAGTCCAGGTCTGACCTCTGCTGAAATTCACTTATTTTCAGGGAGTCCCAGAGAGTCCGGCAGGAAGAGAGAGGGCCTTTCCTTAGATTCTCCAGCAGCTACCAGAGTGGTCACCCTCCACTGCACTTCCCGTAGTTCACTTCACTCCAGAGATAAGCTAAGAATAAGACACTAACTGCAGTAAAACCAAAATAATGTGGACTAATTAGGAGAAGGTCCGTCTGAATTTGTGTAATCTCTGAATTGTTTAATTAGAAAAAACATAACGCAGCTTCAAAGCTTTGTTACTTTCAGCTGCAGAGTGGCTCAGACTAAGCTCCTATCTGTCCTTGGGGTTCCCACATTAATGAATAAATTAAAAAGTGTAATTAGCACTATTAGGATGCCTCTAGCTATAAAGAACAGAAAACCTAAGGAGAAGTGGCTTAAACAATAGGAGACTCTTACCACGCATGTACTAGAGGTCTAGAGGCTCCCGGCAAAAGCTGCAAAGGTTCCAGAGTTGCAGCCCAGCGGCTTGTGGGGTCACTGAGGGCTCGTCTTCCCAGGGCTCCACTGCCTTCCTCAGCACGTTGACTTTCGGCCTCGGGCTTGTTTCCTTAAGACATTACTTAGGCTCTGGGCGAGATGCGTGAACATCCACGAGAAGGAGAGAGAGACCGTTTCCTTCCCTGAGTCTTTTGCAAATAGTGAGAAGAGTCTTTACTACATATTGCTGAATCAGTGAACGAGTCAGCGATCCACATCACATCAATTATTCTGTGAAAGAATGTGCTTTGAACTTCTCCTGAAGTGCAGTTTGATCAGCCCCAGCGAGCTTTCTTCGTCACGGCTCCTTCTCTGTGTAGACCATAGGGAGAGAACGCTCGTGCAGTCGGGGTCTGAGTTCTCAGAAGGTTTGGGTGACTGAGGTCTGGGCCAGTGGGACCGACTCTATTGAGCACACTTGTCTACACGGCCGCAGAGCTCGGCGCTGCACATTCGGGGCTCAGCTGGCAGGAGCCGTTGGGTCCTTGGGGCTTGTCGCTAGCATCAATTCTGGTCACTCGGTAAGAGCTGGCTTCTCCACCCACTTTAGCTCAGGTGTAGCTACGCGACCTGCCGTCACCGATGACGGGTGACACTTCCAGGCAGAGGCATTAAGAGCCAGCGTGGACTTGGCCACGTGCCTTCTTTGACTCTGAGGTCGAGGAAACAGCAGGACTCGGAGTCTCCTGGGTGACTGATGAACGGGAGGCCTTCACCAGCCCACCTGTTCCCACTGACACAGGCACGTGATTGAAGGAGCCCCCGTGGGCACCTTTATTTTGGCCCCAGAACCACACGATTTTCCCCCGGTGTGGAGAAAGGTTCCAGGACACCAAGTATGATAGCTTGTTGCCTTTTGCCAGCAAGTTATGACAACCGGGAGATTATCCACAAGGGGAGTGTGCACACGGCCAGGGGCAGTGGGACCAGCCAGGCCGTGGCGGTGCCCCTTGGGTCCAGAGGAAGAGGGTGCTGCTCAGGTCCCCAGGGGTGCACTGAGAAGTACAGAGGTGTCTGCAGTGACCCCTCTCTCTGTTTTACACAAAAGGGATTTATAGTGTCTCAAAGTTTTCTCCAACAGTTTTATTAAACAGGTTTGTTACCAAAAGTGGCGTCCGGCTGTTTGCTGCTCAAAAGCCAATACTCGAGGGCAAAGTTGGTGGAAAGGAAAGTTTGCTTTATTCTGGAGGCCGGCAGCTGGGGGTGGGCGGTGGGAGGCTGGACTCGTGTCTAAAGGCCGATTCCCACACCGCTCACAATCAGGGGGCAAGAGCTTTTACAGGCGGAGGGAGGGGGCTTCCTGCAGGAACAGCACAGTCGGCTCTGACGGCCGTCTTGAAATCGGTCTGGTGCTCTGACCAGCGTCATCTCGATTGTTTTAAGCACAGTTAGTCTGCAGTTCCAGGGTCGGTTTGTTCCCATTTCTTTGAGGCCAAGTCTCGGAATTGTGGCAGCTTGTGTCATGGCTACAGCCTGGTCATCATGGAGTTCACTTCTCCCACCTGGTGGGGTTTTCAGTGTCTACAGGACAGCTCCCAGGACATGGCTCAGATTATTATCTATAGCCCTTGAGGAGGGACTAAAGGTCCTTGACTCTGCTAATGACTAAACTATTATTATTTTGTCCTGTTTGTTTTCCTTTGCTTTGCATTTTCTCACTTCTCTGGTTAAAGTTATTCTTTGGCTAGAGTTTTCCTGCAGACAAGGCAGCTGGAGGACACGGACGGGGAAAGACTATAGGGTCCCGCTCCGTTTCAGGCTGGCCCTTGGTTGGAGGAGCCAAAGGTAAAAATGCAGAGCAGACGCAGCCTTGGACTTGAAGTAACCACTGTGGAAAAACTGGTGACTTTTCAGCTTTGCCTGTAGAAATGGTCAGAAAGTCACGTGGCTTCACGCGCTCTTTGCTTCTTTAAAGGACTTTGACACAGGTTGATTGCGACTAAATCTAACACGTGGCGCATTTTCTCCCCAGAAACCAGCCAAGATATTGAAAGAAGAGACACATAGTCACATGCCTAATTTTGAAAGCAACAAGGTGAGTTAATTCTACTTTTATTTTGTACTTGACGGCTTGAGGCTAAGGCGCCTTTTTATCCTTTTAACATGTTGGGTGGAGCTCTTGTTTGATGGAGAAGGGGTCAGAGAGCCAAGTCATTCCAGGATACGAATCAGCACAGGGTTGGACCAGAGTGTTCCTCTTCTGCAAGCTGTACCTCACATCAGGTCTCTTGTGTGCCAGAAATTACAGCAGTTTTCATGGCTTCTGCACTAGTCTTTGCCACCTTTTACTGTACTTCCAGTCACAGACTGAAAAGCTCTTTTTTCCAACATCTTTCAAGATATATTTTTAGAGGGGGAGGAAGGAGAGGAAGGAAGGACAGGGGAACCATGGCAGCAGGCGTGGGGAGCCTCCGTCGTCCCGGATACCTTGGACATTGGTTTTGTGGGTAGTCAGTGTTGTGTAAACGGCACGTCTTGGCTGCGGACATGTGCAGCACACGCTCTATAGGTGGCAGCATGAGCTAGCGCAGAACGCGCTGTGTGGTTTGTGTTTGTCCAGTTGCTTTACATATGCCGTCAACGCGGGAAGCATGTCTTTCCATGGTACGTGATGAGATTACGTGACTAATCTGTATAAAATATGTGTATTGGGAAAACAAAATTTACTTTAAATTCTTTAGTCGAGGGATATTTCACAACTAAAACTTGTATATTTTTAAGGTGCACAATTTGATATACGTATCCATTGTGAGATAAGCGCCGTAATCAAGCTAATTAACATAGCCGTGTGTGTGTGTGTGTGTGTGTGTGTGTGTGTGTGTGGTGAAAACATTCAAGACAAAATTTACTTTAAATATACAATTCATGTAGCTAAGAAGCAGACTTTTGGGAGCTTGTTTTTAAAATTCTGTCTCTGGATTCTCTTTTCAAGGTGGTTTCTTGCTTTTAGATTTTTGGCTCCAGGCAGGAGGTCATGTAACAAATCTGGGCTATTGAGTCTGTTCTGATGACAGACTATGAAGAAATCTGTGGATGTGATGGCGTTGCAAGTGAGCCTCTCCTGCTCTGAGACGTGCCCCGCAGCATCCTGGCTCCGCGTTTAAAAAGAGGGAGCAGAGTCGGCTCCTGGGTCTGGCCCACCTTGGAAAGGGGGTTTGTGGGAAAGGACGTGGGTCCTTAGGAAGTTTGTTCGGGTTTTTCAACATGAAAGGAGTTTATGATCTGAAACAGACAGAGGAAATAATCTTTCAAACGATTCTCTTTCCTTCCTTATAGTCTTAAATATTTTTGACGAGGAGGAAGTGTTCAGGGAGAGGTACACTCTCTGTGTCTGGATGGTTAGGGAAGCCTTTCAAATGTGGAGGGACAAAAGGATGCTCACGGCGGCTGACGAGTGTAAGACCGTGTCTGCGGGTGGGAAGACGGTGGTCCCGGGGCACTGGGTGTCGGGGGGCCAAAGGTCACCTGCTTGCTTCGGGGCCATGGGTGAAAGGGTGCTGTTACAATTCAGCCATGGAGTAGCCGAATGCCACGTTTTAATGGAAATATGGCACCGGTGTATTTTGCCTGCATTGAGTTTTTACTATCACTTGGATATCTGTGCACACTGGCTGTGGACATTCATCATCTATGCTTTGCTGACTTGTTCTGTAAATATACCTCCTCGGGCCTCTGGGAGCGTCTTGTGCATTAGCAGCTGACATCAGTCAGTAGACTTAATTTCTTAGCGTGAATCAAAGGGTTTTTCTCAAGGCCAGCAATATCGTTGGAATAATGGCAAATCCAAGCGCCTCGTTTGCAGGTATCTGGGTTAAGAACCTAAGCTTTTGGGGAAGGAAGGTGATAGGGAGCAACTGGGCCTCCTTCTCTTGCCCAAACACGGATGACTTATGTCAGGCAGAAGGGCTGGATCGAGCAGACGCATCTTCACGGAGCCTTTGCTGTGGGCTGGGCACGTGCTGGCCCCTGTCACTCACGTCCCAGCTCACCCACACATCACTCTTCCAGGTGGCATCAATCCCTGCTTTATAGACTCAAAACCAGTGAGGTGGAGAGATCTGAGAGGGAATCTACCACACCAGCAGTTAGGAGGCAGGGTGCTTGGCTTTGAACCCAGTTTTGAACGATTCCAAAGTTTGTGTTTCCTCCCCAGAGAACCACGTGTCTGATTCCTCAGAGGAGACATCCCCCGCGTCATGCTTCCTGGTCTGCCCCTCCCAAGACAGGTGCTCTGTGATGTTCAGGACTGGGTTCATGGTGTGTGACTCTCCAGGATGTTTTAGTTCTGTCAGGTCCACAGGACTCTGTCTCTGCTTCAGCATGAGCTGAACAAAAACTTCGCTGGTGTGAAACACCCCGTGGAGTTGAAGGTCGTCGGCCCTAAAATCTAGCCCATGCTTTTATGGGCTCAGAAGGAGAGCAAGCATTGTATAAGCATGGCAGTAGCTAGTAATACTAATAAAAAGAAATATTACTCAATTAACACTTCCTGGCTGATAGGCCACAGTGATCTGTGTCTCTCAGTGAACTGTGGTTTTATTTGGTATTTCATTTGTCTGTTCACTTGAAAAATTGATCCTGTGATATTTATTTGACATTGAATATATAGATTTCTCAGGTATGTGGCTTCTGGCTTGACCACCTCTCCCAGACAGATCGTGAAATCCTTAAGGGGCTGATACACATCCTTTACGGTGTCTAGGACAGTGTCTTATATGCAGTAGGTGCTTCATAAATTTTGTGGACTTGCTTCACGTTACCTGTGACTAAGTTGCTTAAACCGAAGTATATGATCCTGGGGTAAGATGGTAATGACCTTGAGAAGCTGTAAGACAGCTTATATTGTTATGAACATTATTTAAAAATACATATTTTATTTCTGATGTTGGATCACAAGGGTTTCTGTTTCATTTTGTTAGGATTTTTTAACGGTAAACTATATACAGCATAAAATTTGCCATTTTGACTGTTTTTAAGTGTACTTTAAAAAATTCAATAGTGCCATTAAATTCAGGGACGTTAGGTACATTTTCAGTGTTGTACAAGCATCACCACAGTCTACAGCCAAACTTTTTCATCTCCCAAACAGAACCTCTGTGAGCATTAAGCACTGTTTCCCCGTTTCCCCTCCTCCAGACCTGACTCTGCTGTCATTTATGCATTTAAAACAACCTCCGACCAAAGGAGCTATTTAGATGTAGGTATTAGGAGCAGATCCCACTCACCCCAGCCCAGGGAATTTCAGACAAGTGCATTTATTTTGTCATTATGTATGTCACGGGCACAGAATTGGGTGAAATCAAAATCAAACACCAAAGTGGACCCGTGCTGTGACATTCCTTCATTCCCAGAACGCTTTAAATGTGTTAATTACACAGTCAGGACAACTCTGCCGATATCTGACACTTTAATAATGTTTTCCTTCTTAAAAAATGGAATGTTACCGACATCAATTAACTAATTTGAAACTTTATGTGAACTTATAAAGATGACATGTGTACTTTTCCCCTTTACCTATTTCAAACTGTGTTCCTGACACACATTTTTAATTAAATTGGGTGAAAACTGTCTGCATTGAGGTAGACTGCAATTTCTCCAGTCCTTTTAGTGCCTGATTTGTTTAGATCCATTGATTGTAAGGCAGTTTATGAGCAAGCAGCACTTTTTAATTCAAGCTGCCTGCTGAGTTTGTAAAACAATGTGTAAAAATTTTGAAAAGATTCAGTCCCTTTCCAAAGGGCCGTGAAGATGATTCTGCGGCCCATGTGTTTAGGGCTGTCCAAGCCTGGCAGGGATTCCCATCTGCAGGCAGGTTTGCGCAGGAGTGGTCCGGCCTCTGGGACTCTAAGCCTTTTAATCTGACTCTGAGATCTGGGTTATCAACATTTGAATCGGTTTTTAGCTTTTCCTACCTTCAAAAAGTTTTACATATAAAACTTTCATGGGTAATTTTATGTATTCATGAAGCAAAGAGGGAGAGAGATTGACTTTAATATTTTGGGTGCTTGAGTCTTTCTTCTGTGGAGATTATCTTGGCACTTTCTGCCTCCTTTTGTGCTGTTTCCTGTGATGGATTAAGTTTCGTGAAGGAAGAGTTCATTTTACTGTCTTCTGAGCACCTTTCACATCGCCTGGCACGCAGGAGTATGTGGTCTTGAATCTGATCAAGCACCCTGAGCACAGGAGGTAACTATCGTGTAGTTGTGGTGGCAGCTTCAGGGGCAGTCTGAAGAACTCTGGCCCAGAGGCGGGCTTATGGCAAAGCCAGGGCCGCGAAGTGCTTCCCGGTAGAGAGGACTAAAACCGCAGCTGAACAGTCAGTGAATCGCCAGAGACTGTGCCTTAAGAAGTAATCAAAGCCTCGACCTTTCTCTACAGGCAAGTTAAACTCTCTTTGGAAAATACCATAAAGTCAAAAGACAATCAAAGTATGGAAGAAACTATTTGCAACACAAATTAAATTTTCTTTGTTTATAAAGAGCTCCCTAAGCCATTAATATAACCCTATAAAAGAAAGGCAAATGAGACAAATAGGAAATCCACAGAGAAGAATACAAATCTCCAAAAGATGTAAGAAAATATATCCATGTTATTCCTAATTAAAGAAATGCAAATAATAAACAATGAGTTTATTTTAAAACTTAGGTTGACGATGTCCAGCGCTGGGAAGATGCGGGAAGACAGTGATGCTCCCTAACAGGGCCAAAGTGTAAATTGGTGCAGCCTTTTGGGAAGAGAATTTTGCTCTTTCTATTAAAGTTAATTCTGCACATATTTTTTTAACCATTTCCATGGCTAGGAATAGTCCACAAATGTACTCATAAATAACAAAAACTAGAAACAAATGAGATATTCACCCTTTGGGGTTGGTTGATTAATATATGCTCCATTCACACAGTGGAAAACGCTGCAGCTGTATAAACAGTAAGGTAGACCCATGTGTACTGAGGGTCAGGGCTCCAAAGTATTATATTAACTGAAGAAAAGTCAAGCTGCAACCGAGGATGTAATATGCTGTATTTGGTATAAAAATATGGAGCAAGACGCACATAAAAAACAAAGAATTTAGAATGGGAAAGGGACAGTGCTTGATGAAGTGGAAGGGAAAGAGGAGGCACAAGACCGCAGACACGGTAGCAAGGATGGGGTCAAGGCTTGAGACCCAAGTCCTGAGTGATATTTACAACAAGAAAGAACTTGACCCAACCAGGAAGGTGAGAGGAGATAGGGGAGGTTGGGGGTTTATTTGACAATATCCTTCTTGCACATAGTTGATTACTATATATTTTTTAATAATAGGAAAAAGAAGATGAAAGGCTTTATGAAGATAATGAAAGGAAGGTTTGTATCAACAGATTCTGTAGTTTTGTGTTTCCTCTTCTGAAGACAGACCTTATAAGATAATCAGAGGATTCCAAAACCTTGTCAGGTGCTTTCTAGAAGTAGAACATCATCTCCATCATACACCATCGCTCTGTTCCCCAGAGGCAGAAAACGGACTCAGAGGAAAAGAAATGCTAAGGCACTTCAAGCAGGTGGATGGATCCACCGTAAGGGCAGATAATAAACAGGGCAGGGAAGACTCCTTTAGGGTCATGTATCAGGTGACTGCCCCCCAAGTCATCTGCCATCAGGCACCCGAGACATTCACCTGGGTTGTCCAGGAAGTCAGGGAACCCACACCCTCCCTGCTATGGGGCTCAGGATGGAACGTGTCCCCAGGGTGAGGGCACCAGAGGAGGGCAGGCTCCCCGTGGCCACGAGGCTCATGGCCCCCTGGGAAGGCAGGGCTCTGGCCAGGCAGCTGGCCCCCCGTGGCCGGTGGAGGCGCGTCTGGCTCTGTGGTGTTGCTCTCTAGGAGCTGTGTCCTAGGTAGAGTCAAGATCTCTCTGTTACTTGTTAAATGATTAAGTGGTCATAATGATTTTTGTCTGAGTACATCAGATTTTATTTATTTATTCCTAATTTCACTTAGACTCCTCACCACTCCATAAAAATAAAACAAAACAAAACAAACAAAAAAATCTTGGGCCATAAATACTAATATTTGGGAAGGTTACCTAATCAAAACCAGCCTATGGAAGCCACTTGGGATTTGACATCAGATTGGCCTAGAGCCGTACGCTCATCTGTCACTCACCCTGTGTGACCTTGGGAAAACCCCTTAATATTTCAGAGCCTCAGTTTCCTCTGCTGCAAGCTTGTTGTTCGATAGTTTATAACCAAATCGATATTTTATCCATATTGGCCCCAGGATTAGAGCTAATATGGATAAAATATTCTCGATGCTATGCTTTTTATTTATGTTATTAGAAATAACGAATCGTAGGAGAATCCTGACAGTGTCTGGGGAGAGAGCACACACGTGAGCTACAGTTCTGTTTGTGAATATATTTCTAACATACAGATGTGCATGCAGCCACATAAAAGAGCACAAATTCCAGTTTTAGTGCCTCTATTCACATGCAGGTGTCCTTTGTTAAGTAATTTTACCTCTCTGCACCTCATTCATTCAATCAACAATTATTTTACACATTTACAGGTTTACTTACCTCGAAAGAATCAATGGATTTGAAAGTTCTCGAAAAGTATATCTATGTTTAAAACGATGTTTATATTATTTATATTTAAGCTAAATAATGAAAGTACATGTTTTCCAATTGGAAAGTAGACACTGGGTTGTTCCCACTCTTGACTCTTGTTGAAATCAGTGTAATCAATTTTACCTGGCATTCCATCCTTTGGAAGGAACTCTCAGTGACCAGCCTGTGCTGGAAAGATCATAGTGTGTGTTCCCCGTGATGTCCCTGTAAATTTAAGTAACATCCACTTGGCTTTTAGTGTCCAGTGATTCTCTGGAAAATTTACCATTTGTTTGGTGTAGGTGTTACTTGCTCTTTTAATGAGAATGTTTTACCAAACACAGTGGATGAAGAGTGTAGACTTTGGACACATGTCAACTGTGTCGTGAACGCAGTTTCACTTCCCTGAGCCTCAGTTTCTTCATTTGGAAAACTGGGATAATTTCTAACTTGTGAAGTCAGTATAAAGTCGTAAAGTGCCATATACAGTGCGTTGAGAGTTAATTATAGCTACTATTATTACTGTTATTCTCCAGTCTCATCATGGTTTCTAGCAGAGGTTTCAGGTCCTGTGAAGCAGGAGTTTGAATTTATATTTTCACTTTTCTCAGCATCAGGCACATATAGTTGGCATTAATTGCATTTTTTAAGTTGAATTTTCTTCTATGATATCTCATGTTTTAACATTAAAAATGCATTATCAAACTATGAACAATTCATATTCATGTAGAATTATTAGCAAATACAGACAAGAAAAAAGTAAAAACATTGAATTCCTGTTTAGAATCTGATTTCACTTTTGTGTATAT